CACAGTGCTGGCACCACCAAGTGGCCCCACCCCGTGCTGCAGCACCACCACAGTGCTGCCACCCCACAGTGTTTCACCCCCACAGTCTGCAACACCACCACAAATCTGCAACACCACCCAGTGCGCACACCCCACAGTGCTGCAGCACCCCCCAGTGCTGCAGCCCCACAGTGTTTCGGGACCAACACATCTGCACACAACCACAGTCCTGCCCCTTTCCAAACCCGGTCACAAACCCCACAAATTCTCAACACCAGGTCACAAAAACCCTGTGCCCACCCCCAGGTCCCCGGCACAAAAACTCCCGTGACCCTTCTCAGTCACCCGGTCACAAAATATCCCCCGGCCCCCCCTTCTCGGGGGACCAGGGCACAAAAATATCCCCCCCGTTCCACCTTCTCGGTCACCATCACAATAATTCCCTCCGTGAAAACCCTTTTCGTCACCAGGTCACAAAAATCCCCGTGCCACCTTCTCGTCCCGGTCACAAAATCCCCCGTGACCACCTTCTCAATCACCCGGGCACAATAATTCCCTCCGTGACCACCTTCTCAGATCCCAGGCCCTAAATCCCTCGTGAAACCCCTAGTCCCAGGTCACAAAACATCCCTTTGTGCCACCTTTCAGGTCACCAGGTCACAATAACATCCCTCCGTGACCACCTTCTCGATCCCAGGTCACAATAAACATCCCCCGTACCACCCCCTTTAGATCACCCGGCACAATAAAATCCCCCCCGTGACCACCCTTTTCAGTCACCAGGTCACAAACATCCCCGGACCACCTTTCGATCGCCAGGTCACAATAAAATCCTCTGGCCACCTTTTCAGATCACCAGGTCCAATAAATCCCTCCGTGACCACCTTTCGTCCCAGGTACAAAAACATCCCTCTTTACCCCTTCCGATCCCCGGGCCAATAAAAATCCCTCCGTGACCCACTTCTCAGTCCCAGGTAAAAAACATCCTCGTGACCCCCCTTCTCAGACGCCCCAATAACATCCCTCTTTCACCTTCTCAGAAAATCACCAGGTCACAATAAAAACTTTTCCTTTGTGACCCCCTTCTCAGGTCCCGGTCACAATAACACCCCCTGTGACCACCTTTTCAGTCGCCAGGCACAAAAATTTTCCCCCCGTGACCCCCTTCTCAGACCCAGGTACAAAACATCCCTCGTGACCACCTTTCACCAGGTCCCAATAAATCCCTCCTGACCCCTTTCCCGTCACCGGGCACATAACATCCCTCCGTGACCACCTTCCAGGGCCAGGTACAATAATTTTTCCCTCGTGACCACCTCAGTCCCGGGCACAATAAAATCCTCCCCTGCCCCCCCCCCCCAAAAATAAACCTCCCCCCAAATCACCGGTCCAATAACATCCTCGTGCCACCTTCTTAAACACCCGGACTAAAATCCCTCCCTACCACCTTCCAGGTCACCAGGCACAATAAACCCCCGTGACCACCTTTTTAGATCACCCGTCACAAAAACATCCCTCCCGACCACCTTTTCAATCACCAGGTCACAAAATCCCTCCGTGCCACCTTTTAAACACCAGGCACAATAACAAATCCCTTTTTGACCCCTTCTCAGACACCAGGCACAATACATCCCTCCGTGACCCCTTCTAGGTCACCGGTCACAATCATCCCTCCTGACCACCTTCTCAATCACCAGGTCACAATAACATCCCTCCTGACCACCTTTCAGTCCCAAAGGGCACAATAACATCCCTTGCCACCTTTCAGGTCACCAGGTTTTTAAATAACATCCCTCAGACTTTTCAATTCAACATACAAAATTTTTTTTTATTTTTTCCCCCCCCCCAAAAAACCCCCCATCACCTTCTCGAACCCAACCTTCCCTTTGAATTTTTTTCCATCCTTTTAGCCTTTTTTAAAAATTTTAAAATAAAAAAATTTAATTTTTTTATTTTTAAAAAATTTTTTTTTTTTTGTTTTTCTTTTAAACTTCCCCCCTTTTTCATTATTTAAAAAAAAATTTTTTTTTTTTTTAAAAATTTTTAAAAATTTAAAATTTAAAAATTTTTAAACCCAAAAAAATTTTTTAAAAATTTTTTCAAAAAATTTTTTTTTAAAAAATTTTTAAAAAAAAAAAAAAAATATATTTAAAAAAAATAAATTTTTAAATTTTTTTTCTTTAAAATTTTTTTAAAAAATTTTTTTTTTTTTTTTTTTCCTTTTTTAAAAAAAATTAAAATTTTTTTCCAAAAAAAATTTACAAAGAAAAATTTTTTGAAGGCCTTTGGCTCCCAAAAGGGGGAATTTAAAATTTTAAACCCGGAAAACCCAGAAATTCGATTGAAAAATTTCAAACCCCGTTTTTGGAAAGTAAAAAAAACTAATCGGGAAATTAAATTAAAACAAAATTTTTTTTAAAAACCAACAAAAAGGAGCAAAAAAAGTAAAACCTGGGGGAAAATGAAAGTCGTCTTCCAAAGGCCTACAGCCCCCCTTTC